TTTTCAGAAACGGTCTGTCTAATTTACCTACTAACTTTGTGGTATTTCACGGGTATAGTGTTGTTGTAGGGTTTTTTTTTTCGAAAAAATTGGTTCAAATACTTGGATATGATTCTAAATCACCCTACAGTTGCTAATTTACACTTTCTGACTTCCTTTAATTAAAGTCCTACTGTAGATATGATTTAATTATTTTACCATGTCTGCTTCGATTTGCTAAGCCATTAATGGCTTACTGTTTCTTTAATATCGGTAAATGAAACTTCGTTGAATGCCATAAATCCTTTGTTTATTTTTATCTGTGTATAATCATTTCTGATTAATTTATGCTCCATTTGTGTCTAAATATATTTAGAATGCGAACACCTAGATATTCTGTTCCATTTATTAAGTGTATTCATTCTTTGACATCGGTTGTGTGTTTTGTGGGGTTGATGTGTACGATTTTTAGGAACAGAAGGATGTCATCGACCAATTCTCCATGCGCAGCTTGCAAATTCCTACGCAGAAAATGCACCCAAGAGTGTGTCTTCGCACCCTATTTTCCGCCAGATCAGCCATTGAAATTTTCCAATGTCCACAAAGTGTTCGGTGCCAGCAACGTGGCGAAACTACTCAACGAACTCAATGCTGCTCAACGGGAAGATGCAGTGAATTCCCTTGCCTATGAGGCTGAGTATCGGCTTCGAGATCCGGTCTATGGGTGTGTTGGCCTTATTTCATTACTTCAACAGAAGCTTAGGCAAGTTCAGGATGATCTGTTGAACGCTAAAAAGGAACTGTCTACCTACATTGGTCCATCAGCAATGATACCCATTATTAATCTTCAACCTCCGGGGTTTTTTCAACCGCAGCAACATATGAATGCGCCATCTTCTAGTACCATGATGCCTTTCAATATGAACCCAATGTCAGGAATGTCAACAGTGGTCCCACATGGTGGTCAATTGCTAATTCGTGACCCACAGCAGCAACAGCAACTACTGCAGCAGCCAATTCAAGTTCAACAATTTATAACAGCAATGGCTGCAAAGGAACAAAGGGACCAACAGGAGATGCTAAAATTTTATGAGCAGCAAGAACAACAATCTTCTCAACAAGAAGATGTTGTAAGATTTAACGGTGGGTTCGACTCTACGGGCTCGGTAACAGCTACTGGATTTCATCAGATGAGTTTATCCGTACCACCTTCGTTGGTTTTGGCCGGTACCTATGAAAATCCTTATAATCTGGTTCCGCCTCATCAGCAGTCCCAACCGGATCATTCTCTTTCTTATCAACAACAGGTTCATCTTCAGTCTCAACAACAGCTGCAGCCTCCACAGCCACCAGAGACCCCGAGGCAGCAACAGAGAGCCAACAGCGAAGAGGAGGGGAGGGGTTCCGGTGGTCCTTCAGGTTGATGTCTTCAGTTCCATGCCTATTATTTTCTACATTTTTGATCTTGGTAAGTTTTTGTTTCATTAAATCTTTTGCATTTTCTTTATGTATATGCATAAGTCCTTGTGGTTCGTCTTGCATTTATATATACTGAAAAGTTTTCACTCCTTCACTAGCCTTAAATGTGTGTTTTGTTTACTAGGTCCTGCATTCTCTGTTTGTATCGCGTTATCTGCTAACAAACTCTTGAGTTCAATTTCTTATAGCAAAAATTCTTCGCGGATTAAGCTACTTGCACTTGGTAATATACTGGCAGCAAAGAAAATACCTTGTCTAACTCTTGTTTATGTATGTGTTGTTAACTGCAGCAAGTTGATGGGGGTATAGAAGCGTATAAAGAGACATCGGACAGATGAAGAGAGATTATGATATGTACAAAGAGATAGTCGGAGAGTGGATTGAATATTTTCAACATGAACATTAATTAAACTTCTTAGGTATAAGGTCTTTCTTAGATTTGTTTCCTTCTCCCAATTTATTTTCTATTGATCAAGACCCTGTTGGAGTTTTGATGGTACATTTTCTCAAAATGTAGGAGCAGCATTAATTTCATATAAAAACAGTGTTGTCTTTCTTTACCCGTCGATGCTTACTTTGTCTGGCTAGCTTTTACTACATATAGAGTGAATACATGCAGTTTATATATATTATGTATGTGAAAATGTGTTCCTTAATAAGTGGTAGTGTCTCATGAATGATTTTCACACTGTCAACTGTACATGTTAAGTTAATAGTATAAATAATGCAGTCGACGTAGAGGCTCAAATACATTTATCTTTATTCTAGATAAATGATCAACAGGAAGAATGATAGTAGCATTATATATATATATATATCATACTATGATGTATCAGCGCTAAGTCATTCAATAGATTCAGATGCACCACGGGATCTTAGATCGTTGACCATGATTTCTTTATATCTTTACTACTGTATTATTGAAGTTTAATACTATTTCTCTTATAGTTTTTAGAGCTTCCGTGGAATATACAAGTATTATGGAATATTTTTATAACTTCAATCACAGTTGGGCTCATAGATTTCATGAAATGGCTTTGATGGCCATGTGCTATTTGACTTATAATACATGGATACTAGTGTAAACTAGTAGTTAAACAAGTGGGATACTTGGCTAACATTGAGAAGTGGAATCTCATCCCTAGAAAAATATAGTTATAGAAATTCCACATGCACATGGCCACAGTTTCAGACTTAGAAGAAAAAGGTGCTAGCTAGGTACCTACCTGTCATGTACTATTAGGTGATATGAGATTTTATAGGTGATGTTTATGGTTTGAGGGAGATTTTCCAAGTTACCTATTTGGCCACCTAACCAACCCCTAGGGGAACTGAGAAAACTTTTGTTTTGAATAATGACATATGATGTTGATATTGATCAACTCTTAATTAGTAGACAACCAAACGAAGAACCTTGTTAGTAGTTGACATGCTGTGATTTTTTTCTTGAAAGAGATGGGCTGTCTTCAAGAATGCATACACAAAGTGTGTGCTACATGACTGTCGCCAGGTCGCTTCATAACGAGCACAATATATATCGTGCTTAATTACCATTTGAAACCTTGAAGAGATTGTGAGTGATAAGTCAAAGAAAACTAAGTATATTCTATGTTTATTCAGTTATTTATTTTGACAAAATACTTATGAGGAAATTCTCAAACCACCCTCTCTCTCATCATAGGACAAAGAAAACTTACTCATGTGTTCAATAGTAAATCTTTCATGTGAATAGCAAACCTGCTTCAAAGACATTCGTGTTACATTAAAGCCCACTAGACACTAGTAAACATGAATGCATAGATTCAAGCAAGATACCTATTACAATTTAGTCTAGGTCAAACATGGCTGCTACGTACCCTCCTCTTGAAAAAGGTTTTCTACTTGGCATATTTGTCACAGCACGTCCAAATATTTCCTTATGTTGCAATTAATCGTTGTATATAGTTGTAAGTGTTTAGTTTTCGAGAATGTGACATCAGCTTGCCACAAGTAACAAATTGAATTTGATAATTTTGTTGCTACTCTTTTAGTCTTAGCAACGAAAATGATAGCTTGTCTTCATTACAACAGTGATTGACTATCCCTATAACATTTAATTTGCATTCTAAAGATAGAAAAGCGGTATCTTAAATTATTAGGAAAAGTTAAAAAGAAGTGCAAACGGAAAAAGCAATTGTAATGACAATAGGTGGGCGGCAGTGTGTATTATTATTATTAGTAGAACTATTCATCATGCATTACAATTTGAAATAAAAATAAAATCTTCCATCAAATGACTATTTGCTTGTTGGTGTGCCAACTTTGAATTATTTCATGTTTCTGTTTTGCCTCTAGCTACCCCTCTTCTTCTTTTTTTCAACCTCTAGCTACAGTTTCATACCCCTATTGAAATTGCGGCTCTAGGAAAATATGATACTTTCTCCAAGTACGAAGCGTTAGCTTCTTCTTTTTATTGGTATCTCCTAATATTATCTTGGTCTCGTTATAAACTAGCATATGGGATATTGTTAGGCCTAAAATCCATTTCTTTATCGTTACTTGTCTATCTCAAACAGAACCAAGCTTAATAACAGGACAAAACTTTTCTGTATATTAAAAATTAAAAAAATGATATATGTTACATGAACTGATCCCAAAGTATGATTCGACCAGCAGGACTTCGGTGGGTTGAACTAAGTGCACATTGACAAGTCAGTCGGGCTTTAGCCCATCTAATACCTTGGGCTAGTTTGAGCTACATATGTAACCCAGTTAAACCCATAAACAAACTCATCCACATAGAGAAAAATAAGTGTTTTTTTTTCTTTTTTGGATTTGGTTTGTTTATATAGCAACAAGTAAGATTTATCAAGTGGTTGAGCATCTCCATTATTAATCAGTAGGCTGATGGTTAGAGTTATGCTGAAGGTTAAGTGAGAACACTATTGATCCTCCTGATGAAGTGGGATGAAAAAAAGTTTATATATATAGCCTTTAGAAACAAAAGTAAAGCTTTATTAATTTGTTCTATTTATTAATGAATCGACAAATGACTAAACAAACAAATGAAAATTAACTTGTGTTCGTCATGCTGGCTTATGACCCATTGGTCAGCTCAACTTGATTCTCTCCCGCTTTTTCAACCAAGCAAACATTGAGAAGGTTATAAGTCAATTTATGATTGGACCCATTTTAATTATCACACATATTAACTGAAATCAATCATTTGACACCCGTAACTCGTAAGTGCAGTGATATGACAAAAAGGGGAAATAGTGAACTTATTCACTCTCTAATGGAACAAACCAATAGCCCCCTTGAGAAAAAATGTTCTACCAAAAGCCTCCGGTTTGAAGTGTTCTCAAGTTCTATCAACACAATTTGGATATGTGGCTAAACTGGCGCTTCAGCAGGCACAAGGAATGGGAGTGTAATTGTACAACATATCCATGTAATCCTACAAGCGGGATCTGGGAAGGGTGGTGTATATGCAACCTTGAAGGTAGAGAGACGCTCGGCTTAAATGAAGCATATCAAAATCAAGAAAAGGAAAATACAATATAAAAAAAAGCATTTCCAAGAGTAGATAAATATTCAATATAGTTTGTAAAATTGATATTCCCGCTCTAGTTTCACTGGTTTCTACCAGCTGTATTAGTATCAGACTATATATCCAAATCATTAGTCCTACTCGCAATGTATTGTAAATCAACGATGTCAAAGTTAATTAAATCTGATTTCACAAACAAACATGTTAAAATCAGCAGAGTCCCTATTTCCTATTTTTCAGAAAGAACTCATCGGTACTTCTCTCATAAGTTATTTGTTATGTTTTGTTTCTGTCCTATTTCTATAGCTGCAAAATTAATGGCTACTTGATCTTATAGTTGACCCTTCAATGCTCTTTTGAAGCTGTCCATTCCAATTATAGCTTTCAGATTTATTATCCTCTTCTTCATTGATAGACACCCCTTTGGCTGAACCCGAACCAGTAAAATGAAGAGGCCCTTCAGGAGAACCAGATTGTGTACCATTTGTCTTTGAAGACTCCCCAATTTCATCCATATTAGACCATGAACAACCTGATGCTGGGACTCGTCGCACATGAAGTCTATATTTCTGCATATCACAAAAATAAATATTTTGATCAACACTTGAAGAAAATGTACGACAAACACTCATTGTATTGAAAGAGGTTCAATTGAATCCGTAAAAACAACTTTTAATGTAGATACATTCACTAGCTCACTGTAAAAGATTGCAATATTAAAATTGTTGGCTCCGTCACTGGATGTTATAATAATTTCTAACACAAGTGTCATGGGAACAAAATATGAACCTCTTATTTGTTGAAAGAGCGTAATTGGATATATACCTGTAAATGGCTTTTCACTTCATCATTGGTCAGGCCATCCACTTGCATGATATCTCTGATCTGTTTTGGTGTAGCCACTGCAGGATAATATTTCAAAATTATTGTTAATGTTTTGTTGGATAATAAAAAGTATAGTGTGACATATATAATAATCCTAGTACAAGAAGAAAGAAATGATAACGAAATAATAGCATGTTGGTGATGTTATATTAAAGATTGATAACAATATTTTAACCATAGGTTGCGGCGACTAATACTAGTAAAAAATAAAGACTTTTGTGAGTCATTGTTTTCTCTTATGATCAGAGTTAAGTGATATACAAAAGTCTTTTCATTAAACGATACACTCCACCCCCTCATGAAAACAATGAATTGATATGGATCTAACTTTCATATCATGAAAAAGAATAGAAGACCTTTGTATTCTTAAACGAATGATGTGAGACTCCAACAATAGTTCTAGATATTCCAATTGCTTATCCCATGCCGCACAATAAATAACCGTTCGATATATATATTTATATCGGTGGTGAAAGATACCGATATTCCATAAAATAATCAAATGTGAACGCAAATTAATCGAACACCGACAATTACCTTGTGCACCTCCAAGTTGATGAAGAGCATCAACAAATCTACGATGCAATTCTGGAGACCAACAACGCCTCTGTTTCCTGTGTTGTGATTTGTCCTGTGAAAAAACACCACATCCATTTGAATTTGATGGCCCGTTTTCTCTTTTCACACTCACATCAATTGGCTTTTGACCCTTTTCTCCTTCACCCACTGTCACTGCCATTGACAGAGATAAATCCTTCACTGCCAAACCATTTTTTCCTTCCTTCAAAGCTTGTCCTTGAAATGGCAAAAATGCCCCTCTTTCATTCTTCAATTTACATGCTCCTAACTGGTACTGCTTCTCCCTGGCTTTCTCTTCTACACCACTCTGATTAATCAACAATTGTATAAAAAAATGTCAAAGCGATTTTACCAAGAAAAAAAAAAATCTTAGAAAAGAAAAAAAAAGGGAAAACTTACCGATTTTAAGCTTTCGTACTGAACTGGAGTGCTCCATAGCTGAGCAGAGCTCATCCAGTTTTTCTTATCACTTAAATCATTTGACTTTTTTACCCTTCCACTTTCATCAGAATTACCCTTCTTCAGTGGGATGAATTCCTCCATCACAGGACTTTTATCTTTCTCCTTATACAGCAAAGCTTCTGCCTTTAATCTCTCAATAGCTGCCACAAGAAAAATTAAATAACCCGTAAAAAATGCAGAAGATTGAAAAAACAGAGAAAAAATTCAAAAGAAAAAAAAAACTGACCATCTTTGAGAAGAAGCATACACATGGGCAATTCACGTTTAAAAGCTTCGGTTTTTCTGAGTTCTTCTTCTAAAGGAACAAGAAACTGATTGAGCTTTGTTAATTTCTTGGAGATGTCATCCATGGCAGAAACTTCAGTTAAAACATCTGAAATTAACTTGGGCACATAAACAAAATTCAAATCAATGTTCATTTCTTTAGAATTTGAACCCATAATTTTAACTTTTTTTCTGCAAATATATTTAATTGTTCTATTACTTTCTCACATTGCCTAGATAGAATGAATAAAGGAAAGGTTGAAGAAGTCTTATATTTATAGCACAGTTACACTTTTCAACGAAAACGAGGGTAAAAGTGGAAAGTTTGGATTCTAAAAGCTTCAAGAGATTCGATATTGTTTCACATTCGGGTCGTCGCATATTTGAGTTAACTCGGAAACACGGTTAGTCATATAATGAAGGAACCTTTTGACTCTTAATGAGAAGAAAAATGAATTTAATTAATTTACCTTTTTTTTATAGGGATATATCCATTTTTAGAGGCAAATTATAATTTATACTAGTACCTACATAGTATAGTTTTTTACAACAACATATTCAATAAAATTTGGAAAAATTATTGAAATATACGTCTTATATTTCCCTTATTTCTAATATTTCCTTCTATTTCTAAAAATCTCTAAAATTCCTTATTTCTCTCCTAATTCGAAATTATTTTATAATTTATCGAAGCTAGTTTTTAATGTATTCGAGCTAGTTTTTAATGTATCCGAGCTACATATTATGTATCCGGTTTGTTTTACTTTTTCAAAGATTAATGTAATTACAAACTAAATAGGGATAGATTGTAATTTCATATTAAAACTATGTGATTCCTAAAATTTCATATTCAAATATGAAATTTTAGGAGGTCGTATAATTTTTTTAAATATCTAAATATTAATTATTTTTTTCTCTTGAAAAGTAGTATATTTCCTTTGTTTCAATTTTTTAAATTTAATTCTAGCTTGAACAAAATTCAAGAAAAAAATTTTTAAAAAAAATATTGTGATTTTTAAATTAAAAATATGTAAAATATATTAACATGTCATTTAATTTTTATGATCTTAAACATTTTACGTATAAAATAAAAATAAAAATTTATCAATTTATATTTTTAAAATAATATAATAAATTAAAACAAAGAAACATAAATTAGACAGGTCAAAGTAAAAAGTGTTTATTTATTTATTGTATTTTTACTTTTCAAAGATTCTGCGTCTTGAGGCGGTCGGCTACGTTTGTTGACTTAAATTCCATTTTTCTTGAAATAAGAATGGGATGGAATATTTAATTGTTTGGACTAAATTGCCCTTGCTATATGACTTTTCTAACATGTTAATTAAAAGAGATTAAACTAATCTGATTCTCTGTTTTTGGAGGTTCACTTTCAACTAATGCCTTAAATGCTAAATCAGTTTCAAAAAAAGGTTCACAAAATATAGCCAAAAACAGAACAGTTTTGGATTCTACTTCCACTCCATTAATTTTCTTCTTTTGGGACTTTAAACCTCTATTCTTTGTACGCCATGTTTGGTCTCTCTTTGAAATATTAAAATTATTATAATATCTTATTAGCATTATATTGACGTCTCAATTGAAAATATATTCTTGATTTCTCACTCCACACCTCTATTGTACCAAATGGACAAAAAATTGAATACTTAGGCGTTCGATTTACAGACAAAATTATAATTTTAAGATTAATTATATTTATGTTCGAATAAAATATAAATTAGATTTCAAACTTAATTCAAAAATCCTATTTTACTTTGTAAAAAGTCAAAGTCATGGAAAGTCTTTGATATTTCATTTACTACTTACTAGTCATGAATTATTATTTTTTTAATATGGCATGAATTAATTAATATTAGTGAGAATTAACCAATATATATAAAAAAAAAAAAGTCAATAGTATCCACCTTTCAAAAAATGGCACCGATAACATGCTTATCTCTGCTTCATAGAACAGCCTAACTCTTTAGATTTAGAGGTCTGCAAATAGTAATTGAAATCCAAATTTGTTTTTTAAACATATGCTTGAGTACTCGGCTCCCCTCCATTTAATAAAATGAATATGAACCATTAAATAAGCTAGCGTTTGGCCATAGATTTCCAAATATTCTTGACAAATATTATTTGGGTGAAATTTCACTTTGTGTTTGGCCATAGTATTTGGGAAACATATTTCACTTTTTTAGAAACATATGATTTATACCCATAAGTTTTAAAAACTATCAAAACTAATCATAAGTTTGTATTACTAGTCAATTGGATCAATATCTTTGCAACAAATAGCAAGTAGTGTCCATGACACTGGAGCAATGTGGTAGTTTGGAGTGAGTGCAACAAACATCATTCCATACATCGTGAAGTAAACAAAGCACGTGACTTTGTTACCCTGAGTCGATTGTTCATCATTTTCATCAACAACCATATCATCACTTTCATACTCACTAAATATTTCATCACTACTTTGGTGTTCACGTAAAATATTATGTAATACAACGCAAACAACTATTATAGAGGGTGTTTTTGTAAATGATAAAAGTTTGATGTAAAATTTCAATTTTTAATAGATCCAAATAATGAGATTTGGCCCAACTACTAAAAAAAACTAATATTTGAAAATTTGAGACATTTGCCAAATAATGACAAATTGTATGAAAAACACTATTTGCCAAATTTTTCCCCAAATATTACTTGGTTTCATACTCACTAAATATTTCATCACTACTTTGGTGTTCACGTAAAATATTATGTAATACAACGCAAACAACTATTATAGAGGGTGTTTTTGTAAATGATAAAAGTTTGATGTAAAATTTCAATTTTTAATAGATCCAAATAATGAGATTTGGCCCAAATACTAGAAAAAACTAGTATTTGGAAATTTGGGATATTTGCCAAATAATGATAAATTATATGGACAAACATTATTTGCCAAATTTCTTCCCAAATATTACTTGAGAAATCTATGGCCAAACGGGCTATAAAGACACACATGTCAATCAATCAAAACCACACTGGACCAAATGGAGGAGGGATGGACTACTGGAGGGGAGCCGATTCCATTACCTATGTTTGAATGTACAACACAAAATTAGAATAGTGAATACCGTCAATTACTAATTAATTAGTCTATAAATAGTACGGTTAACCAAAAAAGAAATGTTTCATTTCATTCGTATAACTTGTACTTTGTTTTTTTCTTTTCAATATGCCAACTATTTTTTAAATATATATGAGAAGATATATTAACTATTTTCTTTTTAAAAAAAAACTGGCAAAATGTGAAATGAAACCAAACAATGTGACAACATGCTAATCTCAGCTTCATATAGAGAAAAAAAAAACAGTCAACTCTTTAGATTTATTGGTCTTCAAATAGTAATTATGTAATCCATTTTTTCTTAAGTAATACACTATTAGCATTGTATATACCTCCATTTCATTTACTTCCTTCGTTTTTTTCTTCTGTTGCATTTTTTGAGAGTCAATTTGACTAATTTTCAAAGCTATATTAGATTAAACTAACTCGATGTTATAAAATAAAATTTCAAATTATACGAAAAGCACTATACATTACAATTTTCTTTTATATCAATATAATTTAAAACAAATATCGTTTGACAAAAAAAAAACTATAAAAAGGAGTATTTTTTTAATACTGCTCCTTATTAAATGAGATCAATCTAGGATAGGTTAAATGATATATGTACGATGGCCAAAAGACCCATTATTTTCCTTCTTGTGGTTTATTCACTAACTAGAACTAGAATGTCTCTACCTCATTCATTACTTGTCTTATTTCTTTGATACGTGATCTGTTTAATATTTATGAGAACCATTAATTGTTTTAAAACAATTTGTGCAAATGAAAAAAAATAAAATGAGCCAAATATGGTAAGTATTATCCTCCCTTCAAAAAATTATACCCCCTCCATCCTTGACACTTTTCAGATATCAAGATTCAAATAAATTTATCTTTGATTTTGACCGTAAATTTTTCAATAAAAGAGCAGTATATGTCATATTTTAACTCACAAATTGTTGAAAGATTTTTATTCTTTGTTAAACTCAATAACCAATCAAATAATAAGGGAATAAAAAGATTTTTTTTTCAAAACATGATAAATAAATAAGGGGTCACAGTGTGAGTGTGTTATTCGACCTTTGTGGATCTTCAAAGTACAAGAATCTCTAACGACAATTTTGAATTAAAAAAAGAAAAAGAAAAAAAAAGAACGGCAAATAATTAATGAACCTATTGATATTAACAGAAGCAATATATTGTGAGGTGGTACGGTCCAATAAGGTTCCAAGAGAATCATTTTACTCTGTTTATTCCGTTACAAAAAAGAATCGTCTCTTCCACAATTTCTGCTATATTATTCTTTTTACAATAAAGTATAGTACTACTGTTATTATTCCAAACCTGAGGATCCAAAAATCCCCATGGGACCACAAAAAATATGGTCTTTTTATTTCCTCCGTTACAATATATGTGACATTATTTATTTTAACGTAAATTTTGAAATGACTTTTCTGAATTTATAATTAGAAATATGTTTTTAGACATTTGTGTGGCTATATACTATTTAATGATAAAAGGGAATTTTAAAATTCAATTATTTATAATTATAAAAAGTATTTTTTGAAAAAATTTATGATTTAATTATTATTTTTTAGATATTTGTGTGACTAAACATTATTTAATGATAAAAAAAAATTTAAAATTTAATTATTTCTAATTTTAAAATAATAATATTTCTTTAAGATGAATTAAGAAGAAAATAGTATCAGATAAATTAGGACAGCTTTAGTATCATGGATGGTGACACCTCAAAAAACTTGGTGAATTGATTTAGTGGATAATTCCTTCTTTTGATAAAAAAAATGTTTGTGTTATTATCATTGATTTTGACATGACTATATTATTCTTCACATTTACATATTCTTTTTCAAAATAATTACGTCAGATAATACAATTTGCAGTTTTACTTGTAGAAGGTCCAATATTTATTTATATAGAATCGACAATTTTTGCATAATTAGTACTTAGTAGGAAGAAGATATCTTTTGAACAATGTCAAGACAATAATGTTACAATTATTTTATTTTACTCATACCATTATAAAACTATTTGATCATTAGGCTGCAATATGCTGTAGCTAAATTTTCAATTGGCCTTTCCTTTCATACGTGTCACTAAATAAATTAGTAATAATAAATTTGATTTGTATTTTGGTC